AATATTGATTTTACTTAAAACTACATTTTCACACATTTCAATCAATAGCGAATTACTGGTGAAAATTGTATAGCGATCGGACAAGGAAAAAAAACACTTTTAAGGCGATTGAAAAATATCGGTATCGAAACACCTTAAACACGGTAAAATCCATCAGGAGTATAAAAAAGCTTTTTAAATAAACCTAACTACCCTAAACAATATGCAAGACTATCTACAACTCACCTAAGACCTGTTTTTCATGAATGCCGTGTTTACTTAAAAAAATCAAAGAAAGACTATCGTCAACTCGTGGGAACGTTATTTATAAAATGATCAAATGGTTATCAACTCTCGTTTTCCTACAGTAAATTGTAGGAAATGATAGAAATTCAGATTGTTTATCCATGTACAATGTTTTTAATATTGTATCTTTGCTCTGGAAACACAATACTTTTCTTTTTGTTTATTGCACTTTACTAAATAACAGTTATTTAGGTATATATTTTTTATATTATTATAGAAAAAAAAAACAACAAAACAATTAAGCAAACAAAACAAACCAAAAACACGAAAAAAGAAAGAAAGAAGTTAAAAAAAAGAAGGGTACAAAGCCGGACTTGAACCCGGCACCTTCGGCTTCACTTAACTACCACACATTAGTTATCCAAGGAACTGAACTTCCGCCAGCGAACTCGTTCAGTATGATCAAGCCGCATTAACCGAGCTATTGACAGTAAAAAAAAAAAAAAAAAAAAAAAAAAAAGCAATGTAAACGCATTTCATGGCAACGAATGAATAAAATAACACATCCTTTACAAAGCGGATACACCTTGTCAGTGAAGTAGGAGGCAAAACAAGTTATCTCGATTTCTGCTGTTATTTTGAAGCTAATGGTCAAAATCGCAGCCATTTTCTGCCCATACAGGTTCTTAAAAATAGTATATGGCATGACATCTTCTCACTTTCAGGTCACTTTCCAGAAAGCTGGAATTTGTATATCCCCCGTGATCTTCCGCAGACAGAAGATCAATTGCTCATTTTCTCATCAAGTTTAACTCCTGGACGAGTCAAAGGCTCTTGAAATCCAATCCCCAAGTTAACCATCTTACTCATTTGAAAGACTCCTACGTGTCTTAAATTTGGTAAGACCTCTAACCGTGCTGTAGAAAACTTGCCACAAAGAAAACTCTGAGTCTGAGCAGCGAACACCGAACGATGCACGCTCTCAGCGAAGAATTTGATCCCAACGAACTTCGGAGGGCGTGTGCTTCTTCGGAAACGATAGATCTTCGCACTCTCGAGTTCGGACCCGATTAATTACGAAGTCCGTCTACTACGTGTGAGCGAGTGACTCATTTGCATTTCTCTGTCCCTGCAATAACTCGTGGTACGCTCGCGCGTCCCCACCAGTTTAAAATCAGAAGTTCAGATAAGCCAGTCTTTGAAATTGACTTAAAGATTTAGATTCTCTCATATCACAGGGCAGGCTGTTCCAGAGAACTCCTCGGTTGGCATCAGCATCATATCTAGAAAAGGTTAGACCACGAGCAGCACGGTTCTGAAGCTTCTGTAGCCTGTCAAATAAAGTTTTTCCACAGTTACCCCAGACAATATTACAATAATCGAATTGAGATTGAATGAGAGCGTTATATATACAATGGAGAGTAGGTGTTAGAACAAAATCTCTAATTCTTTTAATTGCTCCTATCCCGGAAGCAATCTTTTTAGATAATTTATCGATGTGCGTTTTTGCCACCGTAGATTTTCATCAATAAATATCCCAAGCGATTTTACAGAGGTAACTTTTTCTATCTGAATATTATCAATCGAGAGCTCGGGTTGGCTCGACAAAGTACTCAATTTTTGTCTTGATCCAATTAGCATAAATTCAGTTTTAGCAGTGTTCAAAGTAAGTTTGTTGTAAATAAGCCATTTGTTTACCTAAATCGTGATTATTACGTGACACCTTATTATTACGGACAGTTTGCGTTGTCCCTGGAAAAAGAAAGCCCCTACATTTTCTACGAAATCGACCCGCGTAATGTACACCCTGTTAATGCGGACAATTCTAATGCCCCCTCCTCCCCCCTCAGTTTCCGCATTAACGGGCTTTGCGTTTGATTGTATTTATTTTTTTCATGATGGGCGCAGCCAAAGGTCCGCGTTCTCCTTAAGATCCTTCGCGAGGAGCCATGTGGCCTTTAATTGTGTCTTGGTTGAAGTAATGGAACGCAAGGCTAATGTCGCCTTCGAAACAAGTTCTTTAAAACTTGATTTATCCATGGTGGCATGGCTCAGTTCTATGAACGGTCTTCAAGAGTTATGTGTTTACGTATTCCAAATCCGTGTGATTACAGTTACACCAGATGATATATCTTGAATATTGCAATATCCAATCTTTCCGTCTCTAACCCGGGATCAGTCTTTCACCCGTGTAGCCCGAAATGAGACGAAATACGAGAAGATATTTGACGCAGCAGACTTTGACAGTCGTGAGGATTGTTCCTTCATAAGGCTTAATGATGCCTTCCGGAAAACTTTGCTCAAGGCCGGAGCCAAAAAAAAAAAACGAAGACAACCCACTATGAGAGCTGAATTCAGTCTAAAAAGGCGCGCTGATTTCAAACTGACATATCGTAAAATTCTGAAGATAATTAAGCCCCGGGGCTTATATTTCTCAAAGGCCGTTTTTGAGGGGCTTATTTTTGGAGGGGCTGATATTCGGAGAGGCTTATCTACGGAGGGAAATTTGCGTCTCAAAATCGATTGGGCTAGCCTTATAGTTGAACTGGCGCCACACATTAATACTTGCTATCTTAACGTGTAAGTCATTTTATACCATTTGATACCGAGAGTGAATATGTACAATGCGCTGGTGATGCCATATTTTTATTACTGTAGTGCTGTATGCAGGATAATATCAATAAGGGACTAGCAGACAAACTTCAAAAGATGCAGAATAGGGTTTAAAATTCTCACCTTTTCTGAATATGAGGTTCGCTCAAGTGTTTTGTTAGATGAACTTGGCTGGGAAAGGTTAGAATATGTAAGACTTAAACAGTTGGCTGTGACAATGTATAAAATCCATAATGATCTTTCCCCTTCATATCTGAGGCGCATCTTTACCAACGCCTCAAATGTACACTCCCACAATCTTAGAAATTCGGAGTTAAATTATTATGTCCCCAGACCCAGAACTGAGTCTGCAAAAGGGAGCCTACACTTTAGAGGATCTGTTCTGTGGAACAAGATTCCCTCAGAGATTAGAAACCTGCCTAGTTTAAATGTTTACAAAACTTAATTTCATGGAAAAGATTATCTTAATACACTATGACTCATTGTAACTCTTATTATAATATAAGTTTTTGTATTTTTAACGTTATAGTCAAGTAGTTTCTTAGAGTATTTTAGTATAATTTTACACAAGATTCCTAGGAAGACCATGTTTTAAATTGATAGGATTTCGTGTATAAATAAAGATTGATAATGATGATGATGAGTTGGAAGTACATTTTCCGTTTTTGCTTTGTTTTACTTTGTATTTGAGGGCAATTTTCCATTTTTACAAGCCCCCAGGGGTCTTATGTTTGAAGGGGCGATTTAACGGAGGGTTTTTTACGTTACCGGTTTCACTGAGATATTTGGAGGGGCATATTTTCGGAATTTTGCGGTATGGGAAGTTATGAAAAACGTTTGGGGGGTGGGGTGTTAGGTGAATAGCCATTGAGAAACCAAGAGCCATTATAGCTTTTGGAGAAACTTATCAAAGTCTATCTACTGCAGCCTCTTCAGTAAATATTCGGTTCAAATTAAATAAATAAAAAGTACCATGAAAAAAAAAAAAAAAGTGCTCCACTACAAGACTCAGTCAGGAGGTATAGAAGAGAGATTTCTATAGCTATGGAGTTTTGCAAGTCCAGTCAGATAAGTCATGTGTAATCACAACGAGCAACTAAATTCGTCATAGAACGCTTAAATGCCTTTTAGTGAGGCATATGCTACACAAGCTTTTTGGAATAAGAAAGTAAATTTGTGAGAGGCCAAGTTAAAGCCACACTCAAGAATCTGACCTACGTCATAAAGATGTTAGGCAACTGTACTGACTACAAACAGCAAAAATTATTTTTACGGCTTAACAGTCCAATGTATAACGTAAGTCAAATTTATTTCTCAAAGACCTAACCTAAACTAATGATGAGACGGCCGTTTTTTCGTCCTTGGTAACAAACAACTTGACACGGGGTCAAGGATCAATTAGATTTGTGTACAATATGTTTATTTTATCGTCTGACTGAATTTGCTAAACAAGTCGAATGGAAAACAGTGAAAAGTCACTAGCTAAGGCTCAACAATCACAACTCCATTGGACAATGACTGTAACGTGAATTTGCTCTATTACCAATATTAAAAGGATAAAAAATAAATAAATAAATAAATAAATAAATAAATAAAACAAAAACAAAAACAAGACAGCGTAATGCGCCCTGACGGCGTGCACTGTGTCCCTTGTCCTAAACAGGGAAATAAGATTAAAAGCGTTGTTCTAAACATGGTATGTATGTATATAGGATTTTTCTTCCTAAACAGAGTCAGGGTTTTAAACCCTCAGCTGCTCACCTATACCCAATTGGTCGAGTATCCCCTCTCCCGGAATGAACAGTCTGCTTGGTGGCGGCAAAACTAAATCAGGCACGATTCTAGTTTGAAAGCTACTTATTTCTGTATGCAAAACAAAACGAATCAGGTTCATAAAATAAGAGCAGGAAAAATTTGCAAGGTCAGAGTTCCCAGCAGGGCCGCGGGCAAATGAGAATTCAGTTTATATCCCTAAGCGTGACAATGAGCACTCCCGTCTCCAAACTCTTTTAGTTACGTAACGTTTGGCTTCTTATCAGGTAAGTGTTATTTTTGTCTCCTATGTCACATGACTCGTGCGTGTTTAAAGCCTGTACCAGCCTGAGACAGCTCATCATTTTGTTCTCCTGGCCTTCCTCTGTGCTCGTCGACTTAACTACAAGATGCTAGCCTTTCTGGGTTCGTTGCTTCTTGTGGCTCTTGTGAATGCCCAAAGGCCTGAACCATGTGGTAAATATGTTCTTTTTGCTATTTTATATGCCTTTGATATACATTCAATTTTTTTTTTCTCTCTCTTTTTTGTTCTTATGACCCGCTGCATGTGAAATTTATTAGAGTGCAATAAGCAAACGGTTTCTCTGTGAACATTTCTCTCCCCTGTTCTTATTCGAATACTTAGCTAAGGTTTGCTATATTTTGGCGGATCTCGAGAAAGTAAGAAAACTTCATCATTCTATTTTTCTTGCGTGCACGTAAGTCTATCCGGTTTGAACAGTGGTTCCGGGGTATTCCACCCCAAAGAGGTCTCCAAAGGGATATATTTTTCAGGCACAATTTATGAAAACGTATGGGCAACCTTCATTGAGCCTTAAAAACGTTATTTAGTGTCCTTAATACGAGAAATCCTGGTATTGGGAGTTTGTTAGTCAAACGTGCGCAATGATTTTACCCGGGAGTTATCTGCTGTCCGTGATATAGATCTGGCCTGGCTTGAGATCTTGGCGCGGGTCATCCTGCAGTCGGATCCTGCAAGGATATGCAAGCCTTGCCTGCACGATCTTTCTTGTGCGGCCGAGTTTAGTTTGCTTCGAAAAGAGCCTGCGAAAAAAGTTTACAAATCGTATTTAAAAATCCTCATTGGGATAGTAGAACTTGCATTAGTCTCAGAGTCTGATGGATATTTGCTGTTTAAATCATAAGGTCATTTTCGGGTATTCAGTTACTATGTAACGTCGGAGTTCTCTTTTGTGGAGAGTTTTACTTTCGGTCTGCACCAATAAACGACAGATTTTTTCATTCTTTTTTTTTTTTAACTGAGGAAAATTAATTTAACAAATCGATAACAATTTACCTTGGTCTGTGGATTGAAGGCCGCGGGCTGAAATCGAGAAAGACCCCATTGGTCCCATTACGTAAGAGCCCATGGCATTCAGCCAGCTGATAATTTTAAGCCAAACCTTCGTATTTTCTTAACCCCTTGGTGTTATTTGAATTGTTGTAGAACACACGTTTTACTATCAACGTAATTGGACCGGATCTAACAAATAAAAGGCATGAATTAGGTCCGTGCACGTATCTTTACATACCGGTATTTTATGTTTGGACGGTTAATTCCTAAGCGACTTGCCTTAGCTAGTGCCCTCGAATCTCTGTCCTAAGTTTGATGTTTTTTAAAAAAGTGAAATTTAGAGGTCATACTGCCTGAGCATAATGAGCATGCAGCTGCACGTACTGAAATACGATCGATTGCTCAAGTAAAACTACAAAAATAAGTTGATATTATTTCCTGTCAGCAGCAGATTCTCGGCCGGGGGCTGATCCTTTATATAAGCCATATAGGTATGTACCGCCCCAAAGGGTATGGTTTTTGGGGCTTTCTCGTCTGAAAACGGGTATACACTATGTTCATTTTGTTCTGGAGTCGGTCATGGTTTTCGAGGGAACTACGGGAGCGTATGAACGTAGTTATCCTTTCAGTTCCAAATGAATAAGAACGAAATACAAGTAATATGCGAATTCGAAATGCATTTGAATATTTTGTTGTTGTTGTTGTTTCCGCTCTAATCTAAGTAATGATGAAATTGGTCCGAAAACGGGTATGGATTTTAGAGGTCTAGTCTAAAAACGAGCGTGGAAAATGGCATATTTTGGTCTGAAATAGGGTCAGGATTTGGAGAACCGGGCGGTATACCCCCACCAAGAATTCCCAGAAGTATCCCCCGGGATTCTCGGCAACAGGAAAAACCTAATGGTGAAGATAACTGGATGTTGGCCAAGTTCTATATTTTATGGCTTGAGCACAAATTCGAGGTCAAAAAACGGGGCAAAAGACACGCAAACAAACAAAACAGAAAAATAAAGGCAATATCCTGCCATCTAACCAAACAAGCTTGTTTCTTACACCTTGTTTGGCCAGCACAATTTTGGCAGCCTCATTATGGGAGACTAAACTCGCCGAAAAGCGAATTTAACTGGGCTGCCATAGCGTTTTCTTTCTTTCTTTCTTTTTTATCCCTCCGGATATTGGATATCCAGTGCTATTCACTCATTCAAAAGCAAAAGCAAAACCTCTGGGCCACATTAAGAACAACTGTAAGCTCTAGGATGCTAAGTCACTAAATCTTGTACCATAGTTAATTGAGTGGAATGGTTATGAAACCCGTCAGACTCCTTTGTTATATGTTTTTGTGGACCTGAAAGTGCACAACGTTCAAAAGAATTCCTATCATTTTGATTGTATTGACCAATAAAAACGTTGCATTAATTTATTCCGTAACAATTTGCCAACAGAAAACAAAGGATCGTGCACTTTCAGGGTGCTTCCAACATAAACTGCGGCACTGTTACTTTTATCATTGATGTTTGCCGCTTTTCATAACCAGTCTCCTCTAATAACTATGCTTGTACTAGTAAGTTGGAATTTGAAGCTCCCGATGAAGCTTTGGGTTCTCGAAAATTGCCGCTTATTCATGCCCTCTTGCCAGTGAGACTATGAGATGAACTTCTCAATGTTCCCGTTTTCGTTGTACGAGTCTTCTGTATCCTAATCCGAATTTTGATGGTATTAATTTTTTGACGGAGAAAATCCCCGGGGGGGGGGGGCATCCCCTTAGATTTGCCTTATAGGCATCGGTCTGAAATAGGGTCGGATTTGGAGAGCCGGGCGGCATACTCCCACAACAAATTCCCAGGAATATCCCCGGGGAGAAAATCAAAGCCCGGTTAACGCTTCGAATTTCAAAAAATCGTGTTCGACCTTAATTTCCATTATTTTGGCCTCAAATTCTCGATAAACTTCTGACATTCTTAAAAAGAGGAGTGCAGATAATCAGGGCCGAGATCCGCCAGTAACAGTGAAACTGTACAGAACCCTCGAAAGTGGCCAGATTTTTTCGCTTAATGTCAACATGATGGCTTTTTTCTTCGGTTTACAAACCTGCTTCATGTTGAATTTGGTAAATTATACAATGTTATATGGAAAATGGCCAATTTGAAACAATTTGGTAACGTTCATTACTTGACCCACGTGTAATAGCGTACGTTTAGGGGAAGAACCAGCAACAATGATTCCATTTCGGATTCTGCGTTTATTTTTGTTCCTGTTGTCTCAACACGTTTTGTTTCTTTGTAAATATCACGCTGATTTCCTTCATTATGAAATGTTGCCCACTCTTTCGCGTTAATTTCCCTTATTCGAAAGTCGTTTTCCACTAACTTCACGTTAACTGAAGTCGCGTTAATTTCCAATACCTTTGTTTTCAATCCTTCTTGGTATTACAGTCGTCCCAAGAGAAATTAAAGTCATTGAAAGCACAGGTGTCCCAAGCTCGGTACTGCTGCGTAACGCTTTAAAATCAAAATCCCTTCGAAGTCTGCAATACGCGCAGCGCAATACAACGAATTTCGCTGTAAGTGAATAAACTTACGGATTGTAGGCAATCTGCCATTTTCACGAAAGAAAAACAAAAGATCGCAAGAAGGAGAAGAGCGTGGTTTCACTTACGCATGAGCAGAACATTATCTGCAGCCAAACACAGTTGAATGATAAGACCTTTTATATGTATATAATTAATTTTCTTTTCAGAAACTCCCGATGAATGGACAGGGCGCGTGATGACGGTTAGTTAAAACATACATTTGCCCAATTATTAGGCTTATTTTTAAGTTTCTCCTGTAAAGAAGCCAGTAAGGACATACTTTTTACCTGAGGTTTAAATTACTTCAGGAGTGCGTCAAGTTGGCATTCATTATTTCTAATTTAATTATTATTATTATTTTTAATTATTATTATTATTATTATTATTAAAAAGAATCTTGTGGTCAAAGTTCCATGTTTTCACTTGTAATAACTATAATTTATCAACTTTCGCTACTAACTGCACCAGCCACCTGCTCGTTTTCCTTAACCACTTCTTCGTATTTCTGATGATTATTCATTCACTTCATTATAATAAAATTACTTTCTATCACTTCCCTTCCTCGATCTTTGTTTTAGATCGATCCCTCAAAAGATCTTGCGGTGTTTGGGCGAATGTCCTATGATGCTCTCGGGGAGCGAGTGAGTATCGTCGAGGAAGTTGACTATAAAAAGGGAAGGAAGTTCTATGAGTTCATTTTTCTCCACAAGGAGGTATGTACAGCTAGTTAATTATTTCTGATTTCTTTACTCGAAATTCCAGTGGTCAATTTAATAAAACTTTTACAAAAATAGGTAAAAAATATCAATAAATGGTGAAACTCTACTTTTTTTATTTCAGGGTACTATGTACCAGATCGAACTGAGCATAAACAAGACTGGTAGCTGTGTCAAGAAAGACCTGACTGATCCATTTCACAAGTTTGCGATTCCGAAAAATGCGACTTCCGTGGGATTGGCAACCATCGGCTCAAATGCAGGACCAGGATTGGGGGTTAACGTTGCTCTGTTTATTGGGGAGATGGGCGAAGGTCAGTAGTAAAACTCCGATTTGAATAAGAGGGGGAGGGCGACGGGAGATGGTACAACAACAATCAGTCGGTTTAGTTTTTACAAATTGTCGTTGTCGCCACTTAGGACCTCTTCACATGAGCCCGGTTAACTGGGCTGGCCCACTTACCGCTTACCTTGGGAAATTTCAGCCTGGTTTTCGAGATGAGAAGAGGCTATATAAATTCCATTATTATTATTATTATTATTATTATTATTATTATTATTATTATTATTATTATTATTATTATTATCATCATCATCATGGTGACGAGTTCTGGCTTCAAATGCGAGAACCAAAGCAAACATGGCGAACTGACACATAAGGTCTAAATTTGGCTTCTATATAGCTTCGGCAAACCTTAAACCTGTACATGTATCACTGCAGTTAAATGAGGTGCTTATGATGTGCTTAATATATCAAGCGATGCAAGGCGATGCCATGAGGGCCGCCAGAATTCATCCCGCTTTCATCCTGGTAACCGGACTTAAGTGTTCATATGGAAAAATTTCCAGCCCACTCACCGAGATCCCCGTTGGAAAAACCGAAATCTCGGGAACCGAGCCATCCCGATGACACATCGTAAATTTTACGCAGGAATTAGAGGCAAGGCGAGATCTCGGAAACCGGACTCGCCCGGCATATAAAAAGGCCGTTAAGAGGGGTAACTATGAATTTCCAAATATTTTCAACAGGTGTCAAATGTCTAAAAATCAATCCCGGCTTTCTGTTATTGTTAATCATGAGTTTTTTTTTTTTTTTTTCGTTTGGGTATCACTGCTGAGTAACTAACAAAACAAAAAAACAAACAAAGAAAGAAAGAAAAACAAAACAGTCCAATTTTAAATCTCATTTCCAGCTAGCTGAAACAATGGACAGTTGAAGTGTTGGCAACGTTAAACAAGTTTTTATTGATATCTTGGACATGGAAAACTATAACAAAATGTACTTTACTGGCCCTTAGTAAGCAAACTCAGCTGATAGATTGTAAACATTCCCACAATTTTATTCCCTGGAAAATGTTCTCCTGCATGATTGTTCAACGTTGCCACCTTTGATTATCTAATGAATGAAGTGTTGGCAAAAGATCTGTTTTGAAGGAGAAGTGAAACATTTCAGCGACTTACTACCTTTACTGGGAGTAAGTGTCCTCTCCTTCGATTCTTTTCTGTTCTTTTTGTGATCACGTTTCATATCTACATAACACATATGTTGCCTCTGTCTTTTAGATCGTTACTATGTATCTGTCACTGAAGAGGGATGCATTCCTGTTCATGAAGGTGTCGAAACTAAGGAGTACGGATACATGCACACCAGGTACAATCATCACACTAAATTGGGAACTAAAGCGTAGCCTCTCTTCTTCTCCCCCCGGCACAGAGGGCGGTGGGAGGGGGAGAGGGGGTTTGGGGGAAGAGGACGACCCATGAACGACTGAGAATGGGTATCAGACAGTCAACTCTCGTTCTTGCCGACACCCTTGAATGTAAAACGAATTGTGAAAAATAAAAAAAGAGAAAATTTAAGAAAATTTTTATTGTACCTGATGGCAGACACACGAATCCGGATACTTTTAAAACCCCATATTTTTTTTATACGAATCGCCCTTCTCTTAATTCAAACGAAATCAGGGAATTAGCACACCGCAACCGCATACTTTTGAAACTGTTTTCTAGAGTTCGAGACGAAGGTTGTGTTAAACGTCTTCGTTCTGAACCTCGTCAAAAACAATTTTGGGTTCGCTCAGCGCGTACAAGTTTTTGCTGGAACAACGTCCAGTTAGGCCTGGCTATTGTGTTCGATGTACATGTAGTTACAACATAATTCAAAATGCAGCGAAATGATATCCCCTCCTAGGTTTATGCGCATGACTACTAGCTAGTTGAGGAAATGTAAATCGTAGTAGCGTAGGGCGATGGGTAAATCCCAATGGGATACATACCACACCAACTTCGCGTTGACGTAAATATCAAGTATGCGATTTCAGCGTATCAGTTTTGTTCGTGGCCTAAGTTAAACCGCGAAATCTCGAGCGAATTACAATTTATGGCTCATCTCCGGTGTACTATAATTTATTACTCACAGCTGACGTAAAACAAAGAAAGCAAAGCATCCTTAACAATGAACCTAACCCTGACAACAGTTCATAACACAAAGAAAACGAATAAATCATATTACACCTGGGGTGACCCCAATTTATAGTGTACTTTGAATGGAAATGCCATAAGTAAAAACAACAACTTTAATGTAAATGAAATGCTGATAAAAAAGCAAACATGCACAACTGATCATTAATCAAAATGAAAATGACGATTAAAAACCGAATGCAAAAGCGCATGAAAATGGCAAACAAGCTGCCTCGAATTTGATAGCAAACCGGCAATTACTTTTAAAAAAGTAATTTTCTTTATACTTACACACCTTGAATAAAGAATTAACCGGAACGCAGAAAGTAGTAAAATGGACTTACCGAAATCAAGTGGCCGTAAAAACAAATTGGACAACTGTATGGTAGATTCAGTTTTTAACTTTTGCCAACAATTTTTAAAACATTTTCAACAGTTCTTTAAACGTTTCAGCTTTTTGACAAAATCGCACTGTAACTATCTGCTGGTAAACCATACAACATAGCATAACTTTATTTTATTGTGTATTTTTTCCTAGCTTCTATGACATAGAAGAAGGATATGATCCGGAGAGATTCGTCCCTCCTCATGACTGCGAGTAGCAAAGGAGACGTGTAATGTCATCTCACTGATAATGTGGACTTTATTCTGCCACTGTTGGTACACCCAAGTAGTTGATCTTACGCTCCGAGCCTTGGTATACTTCCCGGTTATCGAAATGTTTACAGGTCGTTGACAAGAAGAATAAAAAAGCTCCGAGTAACATCGATTCTTTCTTAGTCACTTGTTAGGTTATGAATATGAATAAAGAGATGACGCAAAATACTGAAACCGTTCATTGATTTGTTTT